AACCACACCCAAAATTCTTTTCCTAAGCTAAATAAATAAATACAATAACAAAACAATTCAGTTCTTAACATGTTTAATGTTTTCTCTAAAAAATGTCAATGTTTTCCTGAAAACTATATTGATTGTGGTGGAACCCAATCCAAAACAAAAAACAAAACATAACATAACAAAAAAGGACCTCTATACATTAAAAAAAAAAAAAAAACTCAATCCAAACATCAAACCAAAAGCTACAAAATACAAAAGTAATAATATGCACAATGTATGAAACAATAAAACAAACAACACGCATGCATAAATAAATAATGTCAAAACAACTTAAATTAATAGTTAAAACATCAAAAAAAATTTCATCAATAAAAACTCACAAAAATGAAGAAAAAAACACGAAACCAAAAGGAAAAACTAACCTTCTAACAAAAAATCACCTTCAAATATTAATCCAAAATAAATAAAAGAATCACGTAACAGAATAAACCAACATTCACAAAAAATATATATATACAAAACATAGAAATAACAATAAGAATAATGCATAATTTTTTTTTTAAATAACTTAAACTACCACTTCAACAATCTAATATTCACTATCAACCCAAAAAAGAACCCAAAAAGTGAAAAATAGAAATATTTAATTTAGTTGCTCACATATCTAATATTTTCTCTAAAAAAATGTCAATGTTTTCCTAAAAACTATTTTGATTATGCTGAAAATCCAATTCAAAACAAAGCAAAACAAAATAAAACTTAACCAAAAAAAAATTCCAAGCATGAAAAAATCAAATACAAACATATAACTAAAGCCTATAAACCATAAAAGTAAGAATCTGTACAATGTATGAAATAATAAAATAAACAATACATAACAAACAATATCAAAACAATTCAAATTCATCATCAACCCAAAACAAAATAGAAACATGAGAAAAAAAGAACAAATAGACCCAAGAAAATGAAGAAGAAAAATGACAGAAAAAAGGGAAAAAATATACCTGTAGAACAAAAAAAAAAGCAAAGAAAGACTGAACAAAAAAAGAGAAAGAGAAAAAGAAAAAAGCAGAGAAAGGGGACTATAAAACGTTAAACAGCAAATAGTCATTTTTCCAAATTAACCCACCAATCAATTTTATTCGAATTGCTAATTTGTCAATGTTAAACCTATAAAGGGGACAAACATTATATATAGTTACAGATATTCTTCAAATTTCTTAGATATTTTCTTGTAAAATTAGTTTGTTTATTGTTTACTTCCATAATCGTCTAATTCCATGAGCAACTGTTTTTCATCAATTCCTTTGAAATGAGCTGCGAAATCTTGTAACCAAACAAATAAAAAAGCTGAAATGGGTTTATTTTTGGATCGAACTTGCAATTGCATAATTGCATTTGTTTCTTGGAACACATGACAGAAATTAAAAGCTGCTTTCATAAGTTGAAGCCAAATATTTAACGTCTAGTCTAGATATTGAATTAATATTTCACAGAGAAGATTTCTTAATCTTGTATAAATGTACTTTATTTATATGGCTAGAGGATGAGTCAAAAGACTATGATACTAAGCTTTCCCAACAAAGTAAAAAAAACCTTGATGTATCTGAAAAACATTTTGAAAGAAAAATAACAATAATAAGGCAATAGTTGAGGTTCTGATCAGCAATCATGAGCAAAACACAGAATAAAATGATGAAAAAAATTTATTTAAACTTTAGAGGATGAACTAAGTGGCTATGGAATCTGTGCAAAGACTTACTGAGGCATAAATTATTCTTGTCGTAATACCAACTGATAAATACAACCAAACACATACTACATAAACATTAGTCTTTTACTCTTTACTGAACCCTGAAACAGACATGTTCCTTAATTTTCTTCCTTTCTTCTCGTCCAATTCGAACAAAACTTTCTTTCATCTTTTCTTCAATTCTCTCTTGAGTTTGTTCTTCAACCAGTACATTTAATTTGCTAAAACACACCACGCTAGAGGAGCAAGAACTAGGAGTCGGACACAGTTCAGTGTAATTAAGGCCTAGCTAGTTGAATCTGTTTGAGGCTCAGTGTCACCAACCAACATCCCTGGGACCAAAGGGAACAGCCTGGCCCAGTCTGACAATTTTTTAGTTTTTAAAGGCCCAATGTACGAAATCTAAGTTCGACCTTCCTCGAACAAAGCCCGTCTGATCCCACTCTAGGTCCTTGGTTCATCAGTAGACAATTTCTCTCCCCCGTGAATTAGTAGAAAAGTTTCTAGCTCCTACAACTTTAAGCACATAAAAACATCCTTTAGTCCACTGAAAACTGCCATTTTCTAGTGCTTACCAGATCTCTGTAAAGTCTGGACAACGCATAAAATTAGCCTAACTTTATGTATTTCGACAGAAAATGCCATTAATAAAACAAATGCCGATGGAGAGAGAAAATCGTGGTCAAACCTTACAAGTGTAACACAAAGGACAACACTTGTGTTTATTAATGAAACTCGATAAACAAATCGGCTCGCGATTCATGGTATTCTTATTGCCTTTTAACTTCAACGTTTGTACCTGCATTCCTGTTTGTTGGCAAAATTATAAATATATATACTTGGTAACAACCATGCATGCAGTACATTGTTTGTTCCAGAGCTATTTTAAAACTAAAATCTCTTCCCATGACTGAAAGATCTCGTCAGATCATCTTTTAACTTAATTATTTGTACACCTCAAAGAAAATTAGTTTTAAAAGGAGTGATTGATTTCAATATCCACCTCCAATAAGCACGGAGACAATGCATGATTTAATTTTCAAATGCAAGCGCATTAATTCGTATGTTCACGAGGCCAACTCAAGTCCATTTGACTCACCGACACAATCCAGTGCCCCTTATTTTTTATGGGATCATGAAAAATAAACATACCGTGCGGTGGCTGGTGGAGACCAGGTAGGGCTCCCAACTGCACCGTCTTAAAGGTTCATTTCATTCTTTAAAACATTCTGCGATGAGAAGCCTTCTTATTGCATTTAAGCTTTGGTTGGGAGTCAAATTTTCAATAACGCTTTGTACTGATATACTCAAGATTAATTACACTTTTTCATTATTATGTCATTCAATTAGCAATATATATATATATATATATATATATCTATCTGTGTGTGTGTGTGTCTTTGGTTTGCATGAAGCCAAAAATCATGTTATTATTATTATTATTATGATGATGATGTGAATAAACAAAAGTCATGGGTAGGTTTGATTGCGTGCGGACCTTTCCCTGTATTGGAGAAGTTACTGTAATTGCCATCTTTAGGTCAAATAAATAGGTTGATGTTAATGATCATGCTAGCTGCTAGAATTTTAGTATAGAAATGAAAAGATTTATGCGGTTATTTCGATTTCATAATCATTTCTTTCAAGAAACTTCTTCGATCCTACCTGAAACTCTCTTTTTACAGATGAAAGAATCTCCTGTCATTCCAAAATTTGACATACCCTTTGTCCATGAATCTGCCTGCCTTTGTCTACTTCTTAATTTCAACTAAAGGAATTGGAAAGGACCCTTCAATATATTAATATCAATGAATAACAAAGTCCATAACTATTGCCATTAGCAGGACATGGACTGTCTTTTCCAGTTAATATTTTTTCAGTTGAAAGAAAAAAAATGGGGAATTGCTGGTTACCATCTTTATTTGGCATGGTTAACTGGGGGAAAGTTCTTGAAATGTCTTCCAATTACTGTGATTGTAGAGCTCTTATCATCACTTTTAACACATAAAAGTTAAAGATCTATAAAAAAAAAAGGGCCAAACCATATTTCAAATCTGAAAATTTATCATCAATAAAATGATAGTTATAATTAAACTTGGCTCATTCTAAAGTAGTTGTTCATGGCTACCTATATCTAAGCCCCTTCTTTCTCCTTCCCTAACTGTTTCTGCTAGTTTTCCTTTTTCCTTAAAGTGACAACAAAAATCTAATGGATCATTATAGTAGGACTGTTGTTTTTTTTTTTAATTTATGAATATCACTTTTTTTTCATCATGCAAGTTTTAGAGACCATTTTCTACATTCTGTTGATTAGGGACGGACGGCAATCAAGTCCGTCCCCGACGGATTTTGGTCCGACCCGACTTTATAGGGTCGGAGTTTTTTTTTTTTAATTTCGGGTTTCGAGTCGGGGTCAGGTCGGGTTCGAGTATGCCTAAAACCCGATCCTACCCGACCCGACATTATTAAAAAATTATTTTTTAATTAATTAATTATTTATATATATATTTATATAATAATATTTTTAAATATTTATATTTAAAAAATAATATTTTATTAATTTCGGATCGGGTCGGGTACGATTATATATTGTCGGATCGGATCGGATTCGAGTATTAAAAAAATTCGAGTCAGATCGAGGTTGGGTTTGATATAGCATTAAATCGGGGTCGGGTTCGGGGTGAGCAAAACCCGACCCGATGCCATCCCTACTGATGATTGTATGATACTTTAAGCACGGTTTTCGAGATCATTATTTACAAGGATTAAAATAATTTTTGAGTGTTATTATCAGAAAAACAGAAGAATTCCATTATTATACTTTTAAAAAGGCACCATTTGCAGCATTGTATATATGGACAGCAACAGCAATCCCTTTACTTATTTCCCACTCCACCAACAATGCATAATTTTTTACAATATGCAATTACAAATTTACAATGGCAAAGAAAAAGGGATTAGAAGCAACAATTTTATAATCAATATGCTAGAACATGATGGGGGAAGATAATCATCAAAAACTCTAAAGATTCAAAACAGTAAGACCATCAAATCTGGGGTTCCATGTCTGACAAAGAATGTGTGGCACCCACAAACAATTAAAAGTTTGCAAAGCTAGTTTAAATTCAGAAAGTGTATTGAAGAGCAGGGTGAGGGTCTCATATATGTAAAATTGGAATTGCAATTTGCTTCAATGGAAACAACAAGATATTGTTGGAAAGAGAAAGCATTTATTCCATCTGTTCTTTCCTGGAAGGAGCAGGGCAATGTTAACAGTGATCACCCTGGAATACTGAAGGAGCAGTACCAAATATATACACATACAAACATAAATTGATTATAGCATACACAGACAATAATTTGAAGAAGGCTTTACCTTCTAAAAATGATATTCAAAGTTTTCAAGTCTTTCTTCTTCCAGTTTAGCTATATCAATTAGAAAAGATCAACTTACATAGCTGTAAAAGAAGTAAAAATTTGCCTTTACGAGACAGAGAAAGCACACCCATATCTCAGACAATTTAAAGGCGTAGAGCAATTTGTCCAAAGAAGGATAACCACTCTTCATATGGTACTTGAACTACAAAATAAGTTTTCTTGTCAAAAGAAGTCGATCAGAAGATTTGGGCATCCCTGTCTTTAAGTGTCTTATTTGATCATAACAATTTAAGAAAGACAAAATTGTCACAGGATTCTGTCTATTTTCTGCACTTTAGCTGTGGGGAAAATATATAGTTTTATGGCAATTTCTTTTTTCTGATTTGTCCATGTCTCCATTGCCAGGCAAGGAAAATTACCATGCTCAACATTAGTAAAACATTGAAAACACTACATTATATATCTCCAAATTACATGAAAGGAAAAAAGAGTTGGAACTTGGAAGAAATTAGATATCAGAACAAAAAACTTAATCAGGGCTTTTCATGTCTTAGCTAAAAAGCAGCTTCTTCTTGGATTCTGTGCAGCATTTGATTAACAGCGGTTGCAATTTCATCCACAGTGCTCAGATGGCATCCTTCCTCAACCTGTCAAAATTTACAACCAAAACAGGCAACCATTAATTTCAAATGATATTTCGATTGAAAGATGAAAAGGGTATTGAAATTAGAGAAAGAATTGTTACAATAATTGGCTCATTTTTTTCTAACCTTGACACTAATTGAATACAAAGCCATTCCATCGACACCTGTGACATTGAGGTGAAGAATGGTGAGCCTTAGGCTTTGCAATCGAGCAACCAGTTTCAAAAGCTGTCTGGGTTGTTTCTTTGTGAGTATCTTGAGGTTGGCATGAGTCTCCACCATAGTCACTTCTATGTCCGCCACGCTATTGGAGGCGGCCATGGGCTCAGTTGCCATGAACTGTGAATTGTTGCACTGAGTTGCACGAGTTGAGAATTGTGGAAAGGTGAAAAACTCAGCAAACGGTGAGGAGTAGCCATTATGTTCTGGTTGTTGAGTAGTCCTCTTATGAGCGTCCAAGGACTGCAAGAGCTGCTCTAATTCCTTAACAAAATTAATCGCTCCGCCAATTATCGATGCTTGATCACCCTGAAAAGGTTTATGCAGATAGTACAATTCATTTGTCAGATAAAGAATTTTAACATGTAAAGAAAAAGTTACGTAGATAGCTGACCGTGTAAGTCTAAAATAGTTTTCATGAAAGTGAGGAATCTCTGAACTTTTTCAGGCCAATGCCTTTAACGATTCTTCAACCATTTGAAAATAAAAAAAATAGAAAGTTATAATAGACAAAGGGGTGAATTAGGGTTGTAGAAAAACTTAATTATCGAGGCCAGTAAACTTGTTCTAAAGGTCAATTATTACTTTATTAGTCCTAAGAGAGATAGAAACGGACCCTTTGAACATAAGAAGGTGGCATCAAGGATCTGAGCACAGCGAGGTACTCATTCATTTGTTTCCGGCGATTGCGTTCAACAGTAATATGCGTTATTCTCTGGTTCTCTAGCTCTTCTTTATTCTTGCTGCTCCTGGTTCGTCGACGTTTTCGTCTACTGTTCGTCGTCGTCGTCGTCGTCGTTGCTGCTGCTGTTGCAGCTACACCTGGAGGTTTCATTAATGGAGGGAATCCATTTGCAGGGAGAGAGTGATCAACAGTGCGATTAGCTTCAGGTGAAGAATAAGGATCCCATTCGTTTGCATGTTGCATGACTGAAGTAGATGAGGAGTCCCAATTTGCATGGAGATGATGTTTCCCTTGTTCTATGTTGTCAAATTTTCCAAGTAGAGCTTTACCTTCTTTTTGGAAGCAGAAGTCATAGCCCCAAGCCCCTCCTCCCACAGGGTAGAAGTCCTCGCAAGAATAAGTAAAAGGGTCTTGAGGGTAAACTACTGCCTCTAGTGCCATGTTTATCAGAATAATTCAGATCCTTCTTACTCTCTCTTTTGCAGTTGTCCTTGTTTCTCACACGAGGAGACACACACGTTTGTGTTGTCTATTCTCTCTTTTTCTAAAGGGAAAGACAAAGATGTAGAGATAAATTACATAAAAGCGTGTGGAGAGGTTTAGTGTTTGCCTGACCCACTAGAGTAAAAGGGATTCAGTAGAAGAGATCGAACTGGAAGCTAAGAGTTAAGAGAGAACTGTTTCCTACAAAGAAACCCAAATCAAAGTAAAAGGAAATTGGAATAAACCCAAGTCGGTACACATCCAAAAGACCAAACAAGACCCCCCCTTTTATCATCCCTCCATGAAAGAAAGTTGATCGACTTTTAAAGATGCTTAATCCTAAAAAAAAACACAAAAGCTACAGCATGCTGCACGTGAGATTACATTGAAGACCAGTCGGAGGAGCAGCGAGAGATTCTCTATGGCACTTGGAAAGAGAGAAAGAGAGAGACCAATACTGTTTCAGGATATTCCTCAAAAATAGAATAACATAGAAAAATTAAAAGGGAAAATCAAATCAGTAGGTCCAAACTCCAAATTCAGGCATATCTAATTTCGTGAAACGGGTACCATTTTTTTTATTTGAAGGAACAGTCATATCCCAAACAAAACCAGAGGTGCCTAATTAAGATGTGAGTAAGGTTTCATTAGGTAATAATGTGGTCAGACACTTGACGTTAAATTCAGAAAGATGACAGAAAAGCTGATAATAACCCCAGATATTCTGATGAAGATCTATTAAGAAAGTTTGAAGAAAGAAAAGGAAAAAGTAAAGAAGAGAAAAGCCTGAGATGAACAGGAAAAACATCTTTTTTCGGGTGCCTGGAAAAGTGTCCAAAGGTATCCATGTGACTCCAAAGAGGCCACTCTGTAATCATCCACAACGATGACTATGTGTCTCTCAACCCCCCTTTCTCTTTCCCAATTATTACACTTTTTTCATTTTTTTATGTTTCATGTAATTAAAAGTATAAATTATATTAATAGATTATAAGATTGTTAATTTTTATTTTTTATTTTTTTCTTTATCCACAAAATATTTTAATTTTATCTAGTATATTTTTTTTATTGATCCAAACAAACTTATTTACGTAAAATCTAATAAATTTATGAAAAATTATTCTCTCATAGCCTCCTAACATATTCACGATCATGTAACAAAAAGAAGAATATTCTCTCTTTATCACTTAGCTAACCATACGATATTTACTTTATATTTTTATTTACAAAAATATCAAAACATTACTTTGAAACTTTTAATTATTCACAATGTGAAGCTAGCAAAGCCCATCCATTTCAACAAGACATTAATTCTCTAGGGGGTTTCCTTCATCTCTCCTTTCTTTGGGTTGTCCTTCCATGGAATATTGTAAACACCATAGAAATATTCTATTGTTCTAATGCCGGAATTTAAGTCATTTTTTTATACTTCTTTCACGTATTTCCAACGAAATTTGCATTTTAAAAAAGTGGAAAATACTAAATAAACAAACCCAACTGGCATTCTTTTGAATGTATCACAAAAAAAAAAAAAACTGTTATTTATGAGATTTCTTGATAATATGGTAAGGCATAATAATAAAATAAGCCCTCGAAATACAATTTGACTAATTGTTATTTATTCAATGATTTTCTAGCTTTCGAATCTCTCTTTGAAAACAATAAACCAAGTTACCAAGAACTCTTAATAATTTAATTGCAAATTGTTATTTAGAAAAAACATAATGTTTCTATCAGTTAACTAATTTTGAGCTTCGTAATACACAAGCAAGCACCATTTCACAGACAATTTTGGTATCATATGTTTTGTAAATTTTAAAGTTGTAGTCTCGTAGAAATTGATAGTAATATAATTTAATAGTTTCTTTTTATATACTATTAATAAAATTTTTTAATTTCATAAATGGGGTTAAGAAACGGACATGTATTTTATTTTTTAATTAACTTCTTTTTTTTATATATATATCTAACAGGAAATAAAATAATTAAATTGACAAAACCAGGATTCATCTTAACGGTAATTTTTTAAAGTGTATTATCTCAATTTTTAATATATGCTAAAATTTGATTTTATGCGAGAAAAAAAAAAAACTATTTTAGAAAAGATGAAGGAAAACGCGCGCGTTTGTGGAAAAATGGTAATAATAATTTGTTACCTAAAAAAAGGGTAGGGGTGTTGAATGTGTTTAAGTCATCTTAATTTATGGGAATATATAAACTTTAGTTTGAATTATTAGCCAAAAAAAAATCTTTGGATTATTTAAAAACCAACAAGAGACAAAAAAAAAAAAGGTTGAACGAAAAGGATTTTCTTTTTAAAAAAAGTTTGAGGTGGGTAGGAAGGGAAAAACATAAAAACACATCTAGAATAAGATATGATAATTATGATAGTGATATATATGCAAAATATAAAATATAAATAAAAAATCAATAATTATATGATCTGTTGATAAAATATTTGATGATCAATATTCAATTTTGCTTGAAATACCAAAAAAAAAAAATACTAGTGAAAATTGTTATAAATTGTTGTTATATATGCACAATTAATCTATTAAAAAATCAATAAAATCAATGGTAGTGTTTTTATTAACAATTATCTGAAATATTATATTCTTTGTTGTACCACTAGTAATTGCATTTGAACCTAAAAGAAACAAAAAATGAAAAGAAAAAACAAAGGTCGTAATTTATCGATAAACACAAATATAAAGTATAGCTCATGAAAAACCATTAGTTATCAAATTAAGGTAAATTTAATAGTTCACATTTAGAATTTTTACTGAAATCTCATCACATTTTTACCACTTGAACTAAGTTTAGAAAACTTTTCATTGATACTAACTGGTTAATGAGACTCACATAAGGTAACTTAAAAATAAGTAACACATAAAATATTTTCTGAAAAAAATGTATAATAACTTACTTTTTAACCAAAAAAAAAAAAGAATTGTAGTTTAAGACAAGAGAATGGATTGATTATAGATATTAAGATTTAATTTCTAAATCTATAAATATTACCATTTAAAAATTAATTAATTAATTAGTTAAATTAAATCTCAAATTCATATAATAACATTGGACATAACTTTATTTATTGATTTCTAATATATCACAAGTTAGTCCTTTATTTGTTTGTTGATTAGTGGTAGGATCCACCATCTTTTTTTTTTTTTTTAATAAGATCATTGTTTTGGCTGTGCCTGTGAGTCCCAATGAGGAAGAAATGTGAGGTGAAGATTTGATCGTACACCATCAACACCAAACATATCATATTTCTTTCTTAATTTAGTTACTTTGTACGCAACAAACAATGAAATTTAAAACAAATGAAAAAAAAAAAAAAAAACATGTTTCAAGATCTAAACTATAGGGATATTACCTACTTCCCATGAGCAAAACTAGCACCAGACAATGGCGCCCTTAATTTTTTTTTTTTCAGCAGCAGACCAATCAAATCGTACAAGTATCATCATTATTACAACTCATTACCTAAGAAAACACCAAAATTGACATAGATTTAGCTTCTTTGTTTAACTTCTGTTTCTTTCCTTTCTTGTTTTTCATCATATGCATGTGTTTCAAGCGCAAAGCCCGGTTCCAAAAATTCTAATCATGCACGCATGTGAGCATTATATAGTGGCCCCAGCTTCTAACATTAATCCAATTTAAGCTTGATCAGAAACTCAATTTATTTTAATTACATTTGTTAAAAACTGTAATTAGAGAACTAATTAATGTTACTGGGTTTTTTAACTTGTTCAAGGAACCATGACCTCAAATTGTGGGAAACTGATTATTGTCGTTTTTTGTTGCCCAGGGCAATTCCAGATTCTCCCCTGCTACTGAGTTTTGCTCCTATGGCAACCAGCCTATAATTAGACCTGCTGTCACCAATTTTTTTTCTCCATGTTCTTGGGAATATTAGCCTCAGAGGCTGTGTCATATTCGAATGTTTCAGCCCATTGTAGCTGTGAGCAAAGGAAGAAGATACATTTCAGGCTCGGTCCAAACTCCAAAATGAAGGTTCCTCAGCTGTCCTATAATGTTTGCCAAGATTCAAGATTGCTTATTTTCTGTGGAAAATATGCACATTGATGCATTTAAGAACAAAGGTAAATGAGGCAACAGTCATATGGTAGCTGTTTGACTTTTAAATTTATTGATAATGTTTCATTGTTTGAAAGCTTCAAATACAAAAAGTAAAAGTAAATTCTTATCTCTAATAACTATAGACATTTTAAAATTATGAAGGAAAAACTAAAAGTTTAAATTTAAACTCTTGATTTCATGTTTCATAACCTTGATGAACATGATTAAAGTGAAGAAAAGGACAATTAAGCTATACTTGTTTTTCTTTAATTAGAGAAAATATAAAAGACAACTGTCCGTCATCATATTCCTCTGGAAAATGCAAATAGGAAAAACATCATATTTGCACTGCATGATTCAATTGATGTTACATATCGCCATGAAAGGCAATGAACCAGAAAACACACAGATCAATTATTAAGACAGAACAAAGATACCGCAATGAAATATGTGGTTGGCACATGCTTTTAACAAATCTTTTACACGCATGAAGTAAATAATTACTACGTAACTTAATTCCCATATCAAGTATAAGATAGCGCAGAAACATTAAAATTCCTCTTTTATGTATTTTTTTTGCTTTAAGATTTCTTGTAATGGAACGCATATTGTCGTCCAAAAGCTTAAAAATTTTATGCACTTCATTCCAAAACTCTTCTACTTTAAATTGCGTGTTTGAGCTGAAAATTTTGTTAGAAATCCTTAAATTCAGTATTCCCATGTCATATCGTAACAAAATTATTAAATTGATACGTCCCCATCTTAATGATCTATATTTGTCCCCTTAGTTTGTCAATTGAGAACAATTTGTTAAAGCAACTTGTTAGCATTGATTAGGTATAATTTGTTCGTTGCTGCATTATAATTAAGAGCTTCCAATAATTGAAAATGTATTTTGAGGATTTTAGCCCTATTTATATATATATATATAATTATTGTTACACTTGACCGATCATGTCATCAACACTTACACGTGGCTTACACATTGTCTCAAGATAGATACACCACGTGTACAAATATCCATGTAATTTCCATTGAAGTACAAAAGAAAGTTTATCTACTGCTCTACTTAATTTTCTCTCCCTTTAATTGCTTTCTTCCTTCTTTTGGATACTTCACTAATTTCAATGTCGGAGCATACTCTGAAATTCTAACTCCGATATCCTCTTGACTTTTTTTTTTTTAATAAATTTAACAAACTCATCCGTTCAACCTACAATAAATTAAATTCTGCTCTCATCAAACCCAAAAATACCTCAATAATTATATGATATAATTAACTATTACATTATGTAAAAACCAATAATTAAGAGACCTACGAATCAATATATAATTGAAGAAATTTCATATAAAATTACTGCAATTTCATGTATAGGGGATTCTACCTATGATCTAATAATTTTAAGGTCTCATGGATCCTTAACAGTGAAACGAGGCTTTCATCGGCTTAGCCTCCCTCATTAAAATCATGCTTAATGCATACACACACACATATAACTCTAGTTGCTAATTTTCTTTTATCCAATCGAGTTCCTTTTCACATATCAAAATAAGTTTGTTCGTACAATAATGAAAAGCAAGAAAGAAAGGACAATTAATAATGCAAGTGGACGTTCACATGCATTATGTAACCATACAAATATTTATGTCGGCGGCCTTGTTATTGAGACACGAACCTTTCAGGCCGAAACAAATCCAAACAGAGACAATATTATTGACAGGGAGTATAATTTCATTGAAAATCACTCAAAATTTTGTCTGTCTATGAGTCTAATTATAATTAAATTAAAATTATCAAAATGTAAAGGA